AGGACGTAACTAGGTAAGTTAAGAAAGTAATAAAAGTAGACTCAAAGTACCCTAATAACCTTTCAACTACTTCTATCAATTGACTTATCTTTGAATCTAAATCCATTTTATAAATTATAAAAAGTAAAGACTAACTGTAAAGCATATGCTTGCTCATTTTATGGCAGTCACCTTGAAAAGACTTCTGGTAAAGCTAGCAAAGTACCATAAAGTTCTTTATTGATACACTATTTTGTGTGATCAAAATGGCCGAATCATCGTGTCCAATTTTGATGAAAAAAATTCTCTTGATAAGTAAAAACTAAAATTTCATTTGTAATAACCCGCACACAATTTTAAAGCAGTCTTTATCACGAACTTAATTTGATTGGCTGTCCGATGAGAAAAAACTATTAATTGAATCAAAATTTATTTTTAATTTTAAAAGCTTTTGCGTATCAGAACCATTGTCGATAGATGGCCCTCGCAGTACCTGAATCGTAGAAACAAGGTCATCCTCACCCGCTTAAGAATAGGCCATGCGAGGCCGACTGGAGGACACTTGCTTCTGGATTAAAGCCTTTATCACGAACTTAATTTGATTGGCTGACCGATGAGAAAAAACTATTAATTGAGGCAAAATTTATTTTTAATTTGAAAAGCTTTTGCGTATTAGAAGCACTGTCGATAGTTGGCCCTCGCAGGACCTGAATCGTAGAAGCAGGGTCATTCTCACCCGATTAAGAATAGGCCATACGAGGTTGACATGCGGACATTTACTTTTGGGCCAATGCCTGTTATGTCTCTGGCATATAGGGAAAGATTGCTGAATGTCTCACGTACTTCGGGTACGATTTCTTGGCTCCAAATAGAGAGCGTGTAAGATTGACACCTGTTATGAGAATCGTGTTTGAGCACAGCATCGAGTGAAATTTTTCTGTCCTAGTGTATGTTAAGAGTGAATGTATTTATTAGCGAGAATGTGCAGTGTGTTAAGGCCAGTGGCGGAATATTGAGTACCCCATCAACCCTCAATTAGTTGTTATATAATGAATGTGAAGTATAACGGAGTAATATCTCGTGTTCCACTTCCCTAACTGAGTGAATGGAATGTAAATAAGAAAGAATGTATTTAACAATGTGTCAGAGTATGAATGGGAGGCTGATTACGTTGGAGGCTGAAATGAACTAGCTGTGGAAACCCTTGCGGCTCAACCTCGGTCCCAGGAAGGAAAAGAACCTGCAGGCGCGGAAACTAAGCGACTAAGCACTTTCAAAGTTCCAACATGTACTTGGCAAAGAGTCCCTATTTAACAAATTTCTGCCTTCATTTGAAAAGTTTATTTATCTTTTATTAACTCAAAGGGATCATAATTATTGTAGTATACGACAGCTATAAAATATGTGTATGTGTGTTCGTGCATGTGCAGATTTCAGCATATCAGTAATCAGTAATGATTAACTATTATTTTTTTACTTATTTCAGTGCAATTTCTTTTCTTCATATAATCATTAAATTTGGAAATTTCTAGGCTTGAATATCAAGTTTCAGAACAAGGTCGACAATTTTAGCAAATATGAAGCCTCGGCTCCTTTAGAAAATGTAGTCTATTCATTAATAAAGACATGATTTAGAACATAATTTTTAAAATGAAATACACCGTTCATTTCTTAAAAAGAGATTCAAAATGAAGGTTCTCCCCAAATTGATCAAAATTGGATCAAGTCCTTAATTATTAATTCGATTTCCTCTCTCTTTGGACTGTACACTAAACAAGAATACTACAATAATGGGTCTTTTAAAGCAAATAAAAACAAGAAAATTAATTAATTATGTGTGGTGTTTAGTGACCGTTAGCCGATGATTATTTGGAGATCGTGAGGAGAGGTCTGGTGAGACGTAGATTTTAGAAAAACATTTTCTTTATCGTGCCGACGTTTCGATCTTTATTGAGATCATCTTCAGGCCTGGGATTTATAAATGTTGTTTAAATTTTACAAATACATGTCAGATATGGGAAAAAAACGACACATAAGAATGACACATCTACACAGAAAACAAACACTTTGAGTGAGTACAAATACTTTGATAAAATTTAAAAATTGCATTGTACAAATTCATTTTTTTCTACATTTTACAAGTATTTATATCTATTGTATCTGAAGATGATCTCAATAAATATCGAAACATTGGCACGATAAAGAAAATGTTTTTCTAAAACCTACCTCACACCAGTCCGCATCCCACGATCTCCAAATAATCATTTAATTAATTATTTCTACATTGCAGTTCTATGTTCTCTCAACTGGCTCGTATTTGGTAATAATTTTTGTAAAGGTATATACCAAGATTATTCGGTATTTCTAGTCAATCTGAATGAGGGTTGAATACGAATTTTATCATTGTTATATTGTAAATATATTTATTTATATCTACATAGATACATTTCATTTAAACATTTTTCGGTTTTTATTTTAAAAAGCTGGAGTGCGTTGTTCCTGAGCGAGATAGTTTTCAGAGCAAATTGACCTCGTTTCTTGTTGTTTAATTATTTGTTTTAAGTCATTGCTTTCTGTTAAACTGTTTGCTATTTGTACACTTCGAGATAGATTGTACATTTACCATCGTTGTAGGTTCGTAATTCGTTTTTTAAATTTGTTTCCTTCGTTTATGAATGAACCGTTTCGTTATTTTCCAAAACAATAGTCAAATAATCAAAATAGTGGGCTGACGTTGTTGTGTTTACGTTGATAATACGATAATTGATAACGGCTTGGATGCGGTACGGCGATAAGTGACGCAGCGGACCTTTCCAGACTTGGCCGTTTATCTCGACTAATTTTAGGAATAATCGTTCATTTATTGATTTTATTAGCGAATAACCGTTTGAAAAACATCAATTGAAAACGGTTTAAAATCTATAAAGCATTTCACGAACATGAGAAGAATTAGATCAGTTTCTTAGGTCGAAAGAAGTGAAGTATGATGCGAGGTTGACTATTCGATAGTCTTCAAGTTTTCCCAAGTGCCATTTACCAAATAACACCCAGATAATGTCTGAAAGTAGTGAAAATAAGACAGAGTGATCAAAACGATCAGGCTATTTATTTATGTATTTAAACCTGATACCACAATTGCTTTGGAGGAGTTCCAGGCACGTGTTCTACAAGTAGCTGAAAGGAGCACTACCGTATAAAATTTGATGACAGCAAAAGCACCCATTACCCTTTGAAGAAAAACCCTCATATAACAGTCCTCAATAGCCCTCCCATCCAAAAAACCTACTGCGATAGCTACCTTGGGTATTATCAAGACGCAAGACCAACCTGGAACCCTCACGACTGAAACGACAGGAATTTAAAATGTAACGCAAATCTAACTTTCAACGAAAAACTAACTGACAATCTACAAGACGTTACAGAAACCAATCTGGACATACGGTCTAGAACTGCGGGGCACCGCTAATCCGTCCAAAATCCAAGAAATACAGTCCTTACAATCCAAAGTCCTCAGAATCACTACGTCTCCAACAACATTCTTCATTATGACATCGAAATCCCCAGTTCGAGCAAAAATAATCCCCAATACGTTTTGCAATTTCACCAAACCCACCATTCCTTATCCAATAGAAACCACTAACCTGCAATCCACACGAATAAAACGGCAGGCATTTAAAATGTCACGCAAATCTGATTTTCAACGAAAAACTAACTGACAATCTTCAAGATATTACAAAAACCAATCTGGACAAACGGACTAGAACTGCGGGGCACCGCTAATCCGTCCAAAAGTCCAAAGTCCTCAGAATCACTACGTCTCCAACAACATTCTTCATTATGACATCGAAATCCCGTTCGAGCAAAAAATAATCCCCAAAATGTTTTGCACTTTCACAAAACCCACCCCAATCCTCATCCAATAGAAACCACTAACCTGCAACCCACACGACTAAAACGACAGGCATTTAAAATGTCACACAAATCTAACTTTCAACGAAAAACTAACTGACAATCTACAAGATATTACAAAAAACAATTTGGACATACGGACTAGAACTGCGGGGCACCGCTAATCCGTCCAAAAGTCCAAAGTCCTCAGGATCACTACGTCTCCAACGACATTCTTCATAATGACCTCGAAATCCCTTTCGAGCAAAAAATAATTCCCAAAACATCTTGCACTTTCACAAAACCCTCCTCCCACACCAATTCTTATCCAATAGAGACCACCCTTAAATCCCACCAAACAAACAGAAGAGATGGCCTTGTGACCTACTAAACGAGGATCATTCCTCGCATATAGTTGGGAAAAAAACCACGTTAACTCCTATCATCCATGATCCATGTCATTTGTAAATTCAACTCATTTCATGGAGTAAATAAAATTACACATTGTAATAAAAATATTAAATAAAAAACTAATATGTATTATAAGATGCGATGATGTCTGCGAGGTGATAAATCTGAAATTTGATCATCACAGATCAATCAATATCTGCCTTCATTTTGTTAGAGTCGAACTTTAGTAGTTAGTCGACGGTCTTCTTCTGTCAACAACTGATATACAAAGGATCGGAAGATTTGTGGTACAGTTTCACCTTGCAGCAGACCTAGCGGATATCTCACAATTATCTCACAAATGAAAGATGCAAATGGACCAATTTTATCAGCAAAATCTCTCTACCCGAGGAACTTACCACCTAATTTTCTAATAGTGTCCATCCTTGTCAACGTGTCTTTCTTTAAGAAATAATAGTTTTAAAAAATAATTTTTTTTAAAAAGTCAAATGAACCGAAATAACCACCAAAAGTGGAAACAACAGGGAAACAAAACTACAAGCAATAATTAAGTGATTATTATTCTTGTCTTCTTGGATAACACATCTGAGAAGCATCCCTGCACTATCAAGTTAACTTGGTAACTAACTTGGTTCGTTTTAGAGCTAACATTCAATCCCACGAGATGCATAAAAGTTGCGTAGCTTTCCTTTGCAGTAAAACGTTTGTTTGATGTCACTTACCTAGCATTTTGGACAGGTCGGCGTTGTGGAGGTCCGGGTTCTCGTCGGCGAGCTTTTTCCTCTCGACTTTCGCCCAGACCATGAAGGCGTTCATCGGCCGTCGTATCCTCTGCTCCTTGCCCGAAGCGGAAGGTGCTTTCTTCTCGAACGAGGGCCCGCCGGAGAGGGCCCGCTCCCAGTCGTGACCCGGCCCCGGCCCAGGGATCGCCTGGGAGGCTGGAACCAGCTCCTCGTGGATGTAGGGGACGTAAGGAGATCTGTAGAGCGGCGAGGAAGGATTATAATCCCTATAACACAACAACAAAACTAGTTATAACAAAATTATTAAAAGCATCATTGTATTAGATAAATTAAAAGTTAAATTACCAATTGCCATTTTAAACAATCTACTTTTGCAATATATGCAAACGTTAATGATTTATTCATTTTTTTATTTATATATATTTTTTATTATAATTTTAAGATAATTATATTAAATTTAATATAATTTTTTATTATATTTACGATGAGCCATTTCCCTTTAAGAGTTAACCTTGGAGTAAAATCCAAGAATTGAACTTCTCAAGTAAGACAAAATGAATTATTGACGAAAAAAAACCTGCTTTTTTAATTATTTAAAATATATGTGCATAAAATATCAAATAGAAATGATAAATTATGTTACTTGACAGAAAAAGTACGGTATATATAAATTATCTACTGTAGGCCAAAGGCACTAAAGTAATTGATAATTAAAACAAAAGCAATTGGCAAGTTAATCAATGTGTTCCATACAAACAATGAAAAGGAGGGAAAGAAAGAGTGAGTGAGAGATTGAGTGGATGAGAGAGAGAGAAAAGAGAGAGAGAGAGAGAGATAGAGATAGAACATGATTTTGAGGAAGAGAGTTCGTGGGGGAGAGAGTGAGATGGGAGAGTGAGTGAGTGAGTGAGAAAGAGAGAGAAAGAGAAATAAAGGAAGAGTGAGAGAGAGAGAGTGATAGAACATGATTTTGAGGAAGATAGTTCGAGGGGGAGAGAGTGAGATGTAGAGAGTGTGAGAGAGAGAGAGAGAGTAAGTGAGTGAGTGAGATGGGAGAGTGAGTGAGTGAGAAAGAGAGAGAAAGAAAGAAAGAAAGAAAGAGAGAGAGGGAGAGTGAGTGAGTGAGAGAGAAAAGAGAGAGAGAGAGAGATAGAACATGATTTTGAGGAGAGAGTTCGAGGGGGAGAGAGTGAGATGGGGTGAGTGAGTGAGTGAGTGAGAAAGAGAAAGAAAGAAAAAGAGAGAAAGAGAGAGAGAGAGAGAGAGAGAGAGAGAGAGAGAATGTGATTTAAAGAAAGAAAGGTAGATGGCTGTACATAGAATAGGTGAATGAATAAAGAGACAGTTGGATAATAATAGTATACCTATGACTATCGTTGAGTGTAATACGGCATTCTTGGTAAATATTGAAATAAAGAGATCGGGGATCACCTACAAGGCTTCATCTTTATTTCAATATACCTGTATACTGTACATGAATAAGATAAACAGAGAGATGGAGGGAGAGAGAGAGAGAGAGAGTGACAGGCCGAAAGAAAACGAGATAAATAGAGATACAGAAACAAACAACAAACAGGGTTATAAAGACAGGGAGACCGAGAGAGAATAGAGAGGGAGAGAGGAAGAGAGAGAGTGAGATAGACAGAGGACAGAAAGATGGAAAAATGTACTGCTACCTACCCAGATATTCAAACAAAAGTGATGTACAACTGTCAAACAACAACAAATAAAACAGTCCAAAACAAATGCGCACATAAAAGAACAAATACGTTGCATGTTCGTTGCTCACTCTCACGTCACACACACCTCTTTTCTCCACTCCAAGCAGAGTGGTCAGTGTGATAAACTCAAATAAATAAAAGAAGATGCGAGGAGAGGAGAGAGTAGACTAAATCAATTTTATCATTCATTCCTGAAATTTTGAATGTACATTCAGAATTCAGTAATCGTTTATTTTTAATGGGGTATATTTTTGTTTTCACCCTATTACGTTCCGCTATAAATAAATATAAATTAATGTCGAAATCAATGACGATCACTCACTTATTGTTGTAAATCGTTTTTTGTTTACATTATTAATTTTTAAAAAATCTCAACAAATGTTGTAACGTTTGTCGGTTCGGGGCCGTGATGGGGTCACCCAAGGCCGATAGCTTTGCACTAATCAGATTCCATCATTAGATTATGTCTTTATTACTAGATCATAGCAGTTATTTAAAAATCTCTACAATCAAAACGTTTCCGTTAGTTTCTCATCTGTTTGTCCCCGTGGTCCGGGTTGTCTCGCCGTGCAATCGGTGAATTTGAATCGAGGCCGAAACTCGCTAATTGAGACGCGTTTACTGATTTGTGTGTCTCATTTCCTTTCCTCGTAAATACGGGTGTTTGCTTGTAGCTTAAATCAGCCACAAATCAAGAAAAAAGTCGCCGTTATCTGCGGAGGAGAGGAGCCCGCCGGGTAGCACTGATAAAAACCGTCCGAGGGCAAACAAACGACGGTGACAGATCAGTGCCGAGATAACGTGGATCCTTGAAATTTCAAATTTTATGCTCATTCGGAAACACCGGGCCAAATGAGAAATGATAATATTCGAAGTTGAAATTACCACAAAAATTATGTGGTATATTCTGACCTCAATGGACAAATCAAATGGCATGTCTTCAGGTGGAAAAGACATCTCTAGGTGAGAATGTACGATTCTAACGCGGAGAAAAAGAACTCGAGACCAAAAACACAACCAAAATACCTAAAACCTTGATAATGCTAAATTGATTAGAAATCTGATCAATCAAATTCAACATATAAAATAATTTACCAGGGTTGATCAAATTGCAAAAAAAGTTCAATATAATTCGAGAATTTAAAATATTATAAACCAAATTATTGAGTAAGTAAGTAAACTTTTAACATTTTCATATCACACAATCGTAAGGTTCACAAAAAAGCCAATATTGTCTTTACGAATCCACCTTAAATAATATTTAAAAGGTGGATTATGACAATGATTGAAATAAAAATAAGAAATTTATGGTCCTTAGGAATCAGCCTTCCAAATTTCATATACGTCGTAGTATTCTAGTTCGAGTGAATTATTAAAACATTTCCAAACTCAAAATCCAACCGTGTTATTTTGAGTAAATACAGTGATTTATGTAAGTTTGTAAAATCATTAACATAGCAATGTTAAAACATTAATTTGCATATTTTTGTGCCAATGGATTTTCGTAACGTTCGATCTGATTGAACAAGTTTTCAAAAAATTTCTTGCCGCCATATAAACAATTGAATATTGACGTGAAGACATTTCATACTTTGTGAAAAATTGTTCGAAAAGATAAAAATTTATTTATTGGATATTGAATTTACTAAAATCTGTATCAGGTGGTATGAGAGAGTGTGCGAGAGAGCAGAGCGTGTTTTTATGCTGGGTTAGGTTTGCCTTGAAGAAGAGAGAAAAAAGAGAGAGAGAGAGAGAGAGAGAGAGAGAGAGAGAGAGAAAGAAAGAAAGAAAGAAAAACAGAAGCAGTGAAATAGAGACAGAGAGAGAGGTATAATGAAAGTGATAAAAATAGATAAAAGCAGGTAGATATATAAAGATAGATAATGGAGTTATGGATGTAGATAGAAAGGGGTATATAGATAAATAGAAAGGGGGAGACAAGAGAAAGAGAGAGCGATAGAAATATATAGAAATATAGGGAGAGATAATTAAGAAATAAAAGAATATAATTTTATTTCAAAAATCAAGCAAATTCAGGTTGCTAACGACCTCTCTTACAATTCACGAGAAAGAGAAAGAAAGAGTGAGAGAGAGAGAGAGAGAGAGAAAGATGAAGAGAGACCGAGAAATGGAGATAGATAGAGAATAAATAAATGAACATCGTTCTGTTTTAAAAAGTTAGCAAATTTAGGTTGCTAACGACCTCTCTTACAATTCACGAAAGAGAGAGAGATTTTATCATTGAATATTGTTTTAAGAAAAGAAGGAGAAGAAGAGAGAAAAGAAAAAGATCTAGTGAGTTTTTTTATGTATACTGAACAAGAGAAGAAAGAAAAGAAGATGGAGAAGAAGAGAGAAAAGGAAAAGGTCTAGTGAGTTTGTTTTACGTATATTGAACAAGAGAACAAAGAAAAAAGAGAGAAGAAAAGAGAAAAGAAAAAGATCTAGTGAGTTAGTTTTTATGTATATTGAATAAGAGAAGAAAGAAAAGAAGGAGAAGAATACAGAAAAGAAAAAGATCTAGTGAGTTTGTTTTTATGTATATTGTACAAGAGAAGAAAGAAAAGAAGAGAGAAAAGAAAAAGATCTAGTGAATTTGTTTTATGTATATTGAACAAGATAAGAAAGAAAAGTGAGTAAAAAAGAGAGAAAAGAAAACGAATTGGCGAGTTTGTTTGTGTGTTCTCATAAGTATTTATTAGTTTTGTTATTTTTAATGCATGTGTGTGTTGATTGTTTGTTTTCTCTGTTGCTTTGGTGTTTGTTTTTGAAAAATGCATAGAGAGAAAGTGTGTTTGTTTGTATGTTCGTTTTTTGTAGTTCTTAGTTCTTGTTTTTTGTGTATGTATGTTATCGTAAGAATGAAATTATGGAAAAATTCCTTGATACTTTGAAATTCCCGATATTATCTCACGGTCTTATGGTTAGAAATAGCAATAATGTAAATAATGAAATATCGAAAAATAAAAGAAATGACAAAATCTTGATTGACATAATATTTCATAGCTTTTAGGCTTCATTAAAAAAAAACATTTCAAACGTATACCAAGAAAGTAAATATATTTGAAGTTCCTTGGACCGTTCGCTAAAATACACCTCATCATCAAATGAACAGGCCGGTCACGGTTATTTAACATCATGATGATTTTAAACGATAGCTAGCGATGTCTGAACACCCACTGCAAAACTAACAATTGAGGAATTTTCATGAATACACACGCACAACGGTGCTGTATCTGCTGCATCAAAGATAAATGTTTTTTGATTTTTTCAATTTGGCTTTATCAAAATCTTTTATCAATAGAATCTGCCAACACTCATTTTATTTATTGGTCCAAGGATTGGCCGCAAAAGTGTGGTAATTCGACGGATTCCACTTTGTACAAAGTATTATCGGTTAGTGCCAAAATTGTCCGTACACGGCATCGAAGATAAAACGTTCCAAAATGGCAACCGAGTTAGATAATTTTCCAAGAGGTGGAATCGGAATATTTCCTCATCCTCTTTTCAACCCTGGAAAGTCACTCCGTCGTATTTGCCCCCTA